TAGATGAACGTAAACATGTTTGAACTTCCTAGCTCTGGTTTCCAGAGTCGCTGAATATAAAAAAAATTAAAGAATAGAAGGAAAATAAGGTTAAGAATGGAAAGATAGCTAACGATAAAAATATTTTCATCAAGATCAAGAGTGGAAAACTACTTACAAATAACGCAATCATACCAATATTTACACACTAATTTACAAACGAGTAGATCATTGTAATGAGGAAGATGGCTCAAAATGTATTTAAAAACTTCGGGTGGAATGTTATTTATGTAATGGACATTTATGTTGGCCTCGTCATCTCTTGTTAAATCCAGGTGTGACATTATTTGGACAAACGCGTCAATTTGATGAAATTGTAGAGCCTAATAGAAAGTGATGCGAGCAAAAAAGATCAACAAGGTTTACTACAGGTTAGATTTGATACATAGCTCTTAAGTTTATCATTTGAAAGAGAAAACAAGAAATTTTAAACTGTAATTACACTTACCTTACACTCTCAAAACAAGAGATAAATATAATTAACGAAAAATTGAGTCTTAATGGTGATTGTTCAACTTTGAAATCAAACTCTGTTGCACTAGAAAAATTGAAACTTGCCAGAAAATGCCAGTAAAAGTCAGTAAAATTGACTGTAAATAGCTTATTCTCACTATTTTCACTATGAAGTTGTTCCTAAAGACAAAGTCTTGATTAAGTCGATCCACTGCAATCAACTAGACGACTATCAATCAGAGTTATATTTAAACCATAACAAACCTAATTAAGTGGTGTCAAAGTGAATACATCATCCAGAACAAATTAAAATGGATACATTTAAAGATTAAAAAATGTAAACAAAAATGTTTTCCAAAATTGAGGGGTCTTATAATGATTTAGATTTGGTAGCTAAATAAACAATTCAGTCATATTGGATCAATATTTAATAAATTAAAAAGTCAGAAATAATTTACACATAATATTAGTTGCATTATTAAAAATAAAAAAGGCTCAATTTAAAATTTGATTTCAATCCAAACTAAAATAAAGAAAGAATGTGCAACAAAATGCATTTTTAATTTATTTTTAAAGTTAATTTACAATTGTGAATGACCAATGAGATAAATCTGAGTGTGTACGGTTCTTTGGCTATTTCTTAGTTCCATGAGTATCATATGATTGCATGATTGCATGAGATCACTTTTTAGTTTTCTTACTAGCAGTCCAAGGGTTGATTTTAGACGAGATCCTGGAAAAGAAAAATTTCAATTAGTGATCAATTTTTTTTGTATTTAAACAAGAAAAAGAAACATCTGAGTAGTTCAACATAAATAAAATTTGATCTTATTCACCAACTTGTAATGAACGAACTAGATCAAAACTAACGTACAAGGCTAACAAATCAAAACCAAAACGATGAAAATTGATATTAAAAGCTTGATAGAATCAGTAGAACTGATCACTTATCGTTCTTAAGACTTTGTTGGATGCTTATCATTCATTTTTTTACAAGAATCTTACGTTTTATATTTGGCCATAAAAGTGTTGATGTCAAATTTTCTTTTGCAACCTTCATAATTCATGTATCGTATTTTTCCAAAGATCGCTCTTTCACCCCATCCTTGGTCATGTATACCCCCAACGGACCAGAGACAGCCTACGAAACCATTTGGATCACGACCATCTAGTTCGAAATTGTCATTTAAATAGATAGCGATTTCCAGTGCTTCTTCGGGAGATTTACTCCATTCAAGTATCTTTTTAGCCCAATACATTCTCATGTAACCATGAAGTTTAGCATCGCGAACCAATTGCATCTGACAAGCATTCCACAGAGGATCATGCGTTTTACCGTCTTCAAACTCTTTCTTAGTGTACACATAAGGACGTTTATCTTTTCGATGATCATTAAGAGTTTTTTGAGCCCATTCCGGAGCACCTTTTAGTGAATCATAGTTAGGATTATAAAAGCAGAAGTTGTCAGCCAATTCACGTCTGATAACTGCTTCTTCTACCCAGGCCTCTACCGATTCTTTGTATTGCTTTTTATACTTTTGAACAACTATAAAAATATAAAAGATGAGTTAAAATTTGTAGTGAATATGTTCGAATTTTCGACTTACCTAAAACAGCTCGCTGAGGGGCTATTTGTCCGAAGTGAAAGTATGGAGATAAGTTAGATTGAACATCTTGACTTGGATCATTTCTCTTGTCATTGTACCAGCGGATTTTTTTCTCGACAAAATCAGATAACATTTTAATTCCAGCTCGATAACCAGGCTTGATCCAGTTAACATCTGGGACTGATCGATCACATTTTAAAGATTTTTCAGCCCTGACCCAGTCTACTCTTTCGTATTTGACATCAGATGAGTATGGATGAAGCACCACTGGGGGAAAGTGAGTGAGAAATTCAGGCAACTTGTTAGTGATTTTTGGTCTGATAGTTCGCGCAGCATATTCTAGTTTTTCTGATGCAACCCAGCACGGTACAATGTTGTGAGCATCAACCTGGCATAAAGGAACATCTTCAGGAAGTTTTTTACAAACTTCATTAACCCATCTCATAGGAACTTTGAGTGGAGCAAAGTCACAGACAACTCCACCAATATTGTTATCAGAAACAAATTTAGGCAAGACTTCAGGAGGCGCGCCTAGGAGTAAATGAAAATGAATGTTTCTTGACAATAAATCCTTTTCAACTTCTTCCAATCCTCCTAAAAGGAAGTGAAATCCTCTTATACTTGCATCTGAAGAAAAAATCAAAGATAAAAAGATGTTTAGAAACTGATTTTGCAAAACATTGTGAACACCTTACCGAGAAATACCGGGACAAGACAATAACAAACATGAAGAGGTACTTTAAACTTTAAAGCTAGTCTTTGAGCATATAATAAGGCCCAATTGTCCTCAACTCGACCATCACGAGACATCCAGTACAGGATAGCACCACAGTCCTCGGATGCTACCTTACAATCACTTAACATTCGAACTCTTTTTTTGTTAAACTTGAAATCTTCAATCGATTCGCCAACAGCAGCACGAGCTTTATTTATTTCTTGAAACAATCGTTCACTTGGATCTGAGCTTTGCTCACTCTTAACTTCATCAAGGGTAGCTGAAGTCGTACTAGCTTCTTCTGAAGAATCTTCCGAATCAGTTTTATCTTTCTTTTTGGGAGGTGTTGGAGAAAGTTGACGTTTTTTGGGTCCCATAACGAAAACTTGATGGAAAGTGGATAAACTAGATAGAGATCCGTAATGAGTAATCCGTGTGGGCAAAAGCAATCTGCAAGAGCTAGAGATATGACGAATTATACCGTTAAAAATCAGCTTGGAGCTTAATATAGTAAATTGTAGATTAGAAAACTAAAAAAAACATAGAAAATAAAATGTTTAGACATAAATTAAAATATCAAATCCTGAAAACATCGAAGTAAAAAAATTCAAATGCAAGTGAAAACATGCTTCGATACTATCGATAACATATTTATTCAAGGAATCGGTTTGTAAGCTTAACAAATCCCAATCAAGGATGAAAACCAAAAGAATAGGGAAAATTGCCTATTATAAAATTTTCTAATGTATTTTCATACGCTGATTCCATAAATCTAACTCATTTCAACTCAACAGACTTATACTTTTTTAGATATCGCCGAAAATAACTAGAACATTAAAGAAAAGATAGAGTTCAAGTAGAAGTTTGTTCGGTAAGTCAGGCGAAAGGTCCGTAAAGTCTATTTTCCGAGCAAAGCCACTTACACAGGTGAATAGGTGAATACTATTTATTACATAGAACATTCAATCCATCTCGAACACAAAGTCTCTATTTTTAACCATATAACAGATTCAAGCGCATTCATATCATTAGATTCATCAGATAAGTCTAGAACAACTTATTATTTTTTTTCGATAATTTTTCATAAAAAAATCATAAATTCTTTCCGTTGACTTAATCAGCTTTACATAATGCCCAGAATTACTAGATTAGCTTAATTTTGCTGATTATGGTGCTTAAACGCTTGTTTTAAAGTAAATTGAATTGAATTTGACTTTAAATCAAGTTAATCTGGCTTTGCTCGGAAAATAGACTTTACGGACCTTTCGCCTGATTTACCGTTTGTTCCTACCTAGAATAAAAGGAAACCTAATTATTTTTATATGCTTAATCTTGGCCTGTCATTAGATACAGATATTTTGATGCGCTGGATAGATCGCATGCATTTAGACATTCGTTTCGGCTCAAATACTTAACCTAGTCTTGACCCAAGGTAAGATAAGAATTTTTAGGTATATTTTGTAATGGAGATTTCATATTCAGTATTGCCTTGACTTTTTTGACTTTTTGGAGTGCTGAAATCTATGTGATCTACGGGGGAAACAATTAAATTTTACAGTTTAAACAATTAGTTCGGTCCAGTGACTCCCCTTTAGCCTTTCTACCCTTTTACTTTAGTCATCATAATGGATTAATTTTTTAAACTATAAAATTATATTGTTTCTCCTTGTAGTTCACATAGATGTCAGCACTCCAAAAAGGCAAAAAACTCAAGGAAATACTGAATATCATTCTGCCTAGATATTTTTAGATCATGGTTCTATTCCAGTTTATTCTAGTTTTCGATTTGAGAACTCTGCTATTTTATATATAATTTCATTACAGTATGTATCAAATGGATCCGATTAATTGAAGAGCGAACCAGAAAAGTGACATATTTTACTGGTAAGACTCAAAATACTATCAATAATTATATTGCACTAACTTTGCAACAACTCCTTTATTGAACTATATTTTCACAACATAAATATATGCAGGGAAATGATGTGTTTGCAGATTGTTCTGCTCATTGGGTTTATTATCTATCAGAGAAACCAATTGATGGAACTTATCTGAGCAAATTTTTTCCAAATTCAATGGTAGGTTGAATAATACAACTTTTATGGATTGCTTAACACGTATTTTTTATATATCTTATTACCTTAGATTGCTGAATTTTTGGCTAGGTTGTGATTGAAAACAACCCATAATTATCGGAGCGTAGTGAAATGAAGTGGAGATTTTAAATCGCACTACCGTAAACTCAAATTCACTTTCAAATTTTTTGTCATCAAAAAATCTCGACAACCGCTAAGCCAAACTTCATGTCAGAACATGTCAGATAATTTTTAAGAACTGAAGTGAAAACCGAGATCATCGGAGGTCATTTTTCGGGATTTTGACCTTTAACCTTCAGAGGTAATTTGCTGGTAATTTAGCTTTTTTAACAGTTTATCATCACTTGCATGCAGATTCATCATTATATCACTATTAGTTAACGAAATATGAAAACATGCAAAAAGTATCAAACTCGTGAAAGAGCAATTTACGTTTATTTCACGAATGGTTCAGTTTTCGAACTTGATATCAGCAAAATGATCGATTCAAGTCGTTCACAAGAATCAGAACAAAAAATTAGATCATCGGAGGTCATTTTCCGGGAATTCGAGCTTTCTCCTTTAGACTTTATTTGAAGGTCACTTATGCATTCTCAATGCTTTTACATATCTAAATGAAAGATTCATCATCATTTCATCAATAATAATCGAAATATGGCGTGAAATACTAAAAAAGTCCTTCAAACTCACGAAAAAACCAAATATTTCTGCGTCTCAAAACAAGTTAAAACAACAGATAACTTTGAAATGCCTATGCTTACAGGACATTAAAAAACTGTTTTCTTTCTGTAATAACGCATATTATCAGATGTGTTATTAGATGAAACAATTTTATGATGCGTTCAGTTCACATAGATATGTGATGCAAAGATGAAGATTAGAACGGAAGAAAACCTCAGCAAAATCATGAATTTAGTTAGCTAGCAGCAAGAATTTGAAGGATAATCGCAAAATTTTGTTGAAATTAATGAAGATTAACCAATTTTTTGATACATGAGTGAGAGCGTTCATGTGCAAATAATGTCTTTGATTATCATCTTCCAACGTCTCTTTATTCTATAGAGAATAAAAGATTATTTCCTTGCAAATCATCCGATCAGTACAACGTATTTGCTGTTGACTAGTCGAATAGAGCCAAATACCTTTTTTATTGGCAAGTAGTGACAAATGCATCGGTTGTTGGTTTTTCCCTGGCTGATTGTATCAAAACTTTAAACGAAATCTATGGCTTGAACTTTGCTGATGTTCAACTTATAGGTCACAGTTCGGGTAGTCATGTGGCTTGGATCTGCGGAGAACGTTTGAACTGACATATTGGAAGAATTACAGAGCTTGATCCAGCAGGACCATTATTCAATGAGGAGCATCCGACATACCGTCGCAACTCAGAGAATGCCAATTATGTTGATATCATTCACACGGATAATGGAAAAAATATTTAGTTTGGTAAGATTGCAGTGTATTTTTTACATTTTATATAATTAACTTTTTTGTACTCTTACACGTCTTCGTTATATCACGTTAGGCTTAGGGCTCGTAGATTCTGTGGGCACTGTGGATTACTTTCCGAATGGTGGTTACATTCAACCTGGCTGAACTAAGAATTCAGGAATGAAAGGTTTATTTAAAAATGGTTTTATCCAAGGTAATTATATAATTACATTAGATTGAATCTTTGATTTGACATAATATTTGTCTGTAGGTTTTCGGAGGGAATTTCATGCAGTCACTCATTGGCTAATCGAATGCTACTTTTAAGTACGGAATAGTCGAATAAGTCGAATAGTTCGGCCCAAGATTCAGAATTTGTTCAACCACATATCAATCGAAAGCTTATGATGAGTAGTAGATGGCAAATCTAAAACCACACATTTAGAGAATATTTTTGTACCTTTTCTTATAGTTTTCAAGGCGCTGAACAATATGTACTAGGTGAGAGGTGGTCCTCATAGGGTTTTTAAGAAACGCCACGACATTGAAGATTCATTAACATTTGAAAAAGTGACTTGTAGATGGCAAATCTAAAACCACATGTTTAGAGAATTATTTTTGACTTTTCATGATAGTAACCAAGGCGCTGAACAATATGTACTAGGTGAGAGGTGGTCCTCATAGGGTTTTTAAGAAACGCCACGTCTTTATATATTGATTTGCAGCATGCAAAACTTTCAAAGTAAAATAACTCAAAAAGCCACAGGTTTAGAGCAACATGCATATCATCATTGGAATTGTCATGCAAAGTTCTATCTGAAAAAATATGTCTGAGGTGGTCCTCATCGGGTCCCAAGGGATTTGCTGAGGGATTTGCTGGGGGGATGCTGATTTGCTCCCCAGGGGATACGAACTTTGACCTGATTAGGGAGGCATACTCTACGCATCATAAGCTTTCGATTGATATGTGGTTGAACAAATTTTGAATCTTGGGCCGATTTGGCTATTGTTCTTTGCCAGGTTAGAAAGTTCAAAGCTTATGGGTTATGTTTTTGATGTCTCTACAACCCAATAGAGTCTAAATTTGAAAGAAACTAATTTTTACCCGTTATTGCCCATTTTTGTAATTTTTGTGCATAAATGTGATAATTATGTCCCTGCTTATCCACAATTTCTCATATCTTAACCTAAATAAGCAAGTTTTTACCACTATTCCATAGAGTTTAAACAAACGGGCCGTGCTCTTAAGACAAATAAAAGTCTACTTCATATCCAAGGATTAGAATCTTTTCCGATATTTTTTTGTACGAATAGGGCTTACATAATTTATTCTCGTATTCTTTATACTTGATAGCATGTCTCAAATCTGTGTCAATAGATTCAAAAAGAAGGCAGATATATGGAACAGATCATCTTGTCTTCGTATCAAGAAAAAGAGCCACTGGTTGAAAAGAAATTTCAATATCAGACAACATAGAGTCAAAGTAAAGATTTTCTATACTTTTGAATAAACGCTAACTGTGACTTATACTTTTTTTCACCTTTAAGTTCGATCAAATAGATATCGATATGACAAGGCAGTCGAAATTCCATTAGTCTACGTTTTCAATCAACCAGTACCTCAATATTTGGTCGATTATTTACCTGGAAGGAAAATCAACTTTGCTGCTGTAGAGGCTATAATCGCCAAAAAGAATGCCGAACTTCAATTAATACAGTCACGTTAAACTAAAAATTAATTAAAAGTCTGTGAAACATAAACGTTATAAAATAAACAATTAATAGATAAGATGAAAAAAATTTAACTTTGGAAGATTATTCAAGATTCTAGAAGCAGAGTGTTAATTCTATGTTAAGATGTAAATAAATGAAAGTAGATTGATTTAATGATAGAAGATGTAATTGGAGATACTTCCGATACACATTGAACGTGTGTATTTGGAGTTTATGAACTGAACGTGAAATTGTAACTTGACAATAGTGGTTTTCTTGAGTCACCAAAGACTCTAAAGAGTTTTAAAAAGTCTTTGATAGATAACGAAGCAGTGACAAATACACCGGTCGTTGGTTTCGCCCTGGCTGCTTTTATTAAAACTTTAAACGGAA